AGTGACTCAGCCCACAGTGGGGTCAACTCATGTTGAGATGTCCCACTGAGAACCCAAGAAGGGCCTGTTAATCAGCTACAAATTTACATGCACGGTGGGGTCAACACTGACATACTAAGATCTAAACATGGGGTAGGCATGGCTTTCCTCTTTCCCAAGCACCCCGTCCTAGGACAGAAGAACCCATGCCATCTATCTCTTGAGAAGTAGGCTCATTTCTTCCTGTGTAAGAGCTTTGGAAGAATGGTCAGCCAGGTCAAGGTTAAGCCCTTCGTCAGTCAGATTTTCTTGGCTATGACTAAACACCTGAGGGTTTCAACTTAGAAAGAGGAAACCTTTCTTTGGGCTCATGGGTTCAGAAGTGTCAGAGCGTGGTCACTTGGCCTTTCCACTGGGGTCCTGGAGAGAGGCAGATCATCATGGGGCATGTGTGACAGACAGTCGCTCTTGTTGATGCTATACCACTACAGGAGCCTCTGAGGGCTGTTTACAACGCAAACCACCACAAATCCTGACTCTCACTGGGGCAAGTGTAGCAAAGCACCAGGGCTAATGTGAATGACAGTTTGTCTCAGGCAGCTCTGGAGACTGACAACTCCAAAATGAAGATACCCAGCCAATCCAGTCACCACTGAGTTGTGTCCTCACCTGAAAGAGTGAAGGGGAAGATGAAGGAGGAGAGGGAGGGATAGGAAGAGGAAGAGGGGGAGGAGAGTAAGGTAGCTCTCTGCTGCCTTTTCCACAAAGTCACTAATACTATCTCAAGGACACTAACTCTTGACCTCACCTAACTGATTACTTCTGAAGGTCCCCTCAAACATCTATCAGGAATTAAAATCTCATCCTATGAATGGGGGGGGGATGATGTTGATGCCCCTCTGTGTGCTCTGAATGTGTTTATTACCATTCATTAATAAAGAAGCTGCTTTGGGCTATGGCAGGGCAGAATATAGCTAGGCTGGAAATCCAAACAAAGATCCAGGGAGAAAGAAGGCAGAGTCAAAGAAAATGCCAGCAGCTGCTAGAGTTTAAGCAAGATGTAAGGTAACAAGCCATGAGTCATGTGGCAAAATATAAAATAATAGAAATAGGTTTATTTAAAAGTAGGAGCTAGTTAGTAATAAGCCTGAGCCATTGGCCAAACTTTTATAATTAATATAAGCATCTGAGTGTTTATTTGGGAACTGGCAGGTAGATGAGAAACCCCCAGGTACAGGGTGATGCATAATTGGTTTCTATTGTACCCTCCCTGCCCCCACATTATGTATGGTACAGCACACATCTGTCCCATGATTTCTGTCCTTGAGATGGAGGACTTGTGCCTGGGTTCACCCTTGCTGCAACAGCCATGCTACAGGCCTGTCTTTCCCTCCTTGGCCTGCATCCCTGGGCTCCCTCTGAAACATGACAGTGCCCCAGCTAACTGACAGTCAACTGGGCAGTGCCCAGATAAACTAACAGCCATCCTGCTCTTGTGACATGAGGCTCAGGTGACCCCTGATATCTGCTGTCTATGGCTGGGAGCTGGCCTCCCTGTCTCTGTCCCTCTCATAAGCACACAGGCGCTCTGGTTTTCCTTTTTGTCCAGGAGGGCTGCTCTGTATTCGCCCTGTCCCCTCCCTACCTTCAGAAGAGGCCCTAAAGACTAAGGCTGCAAGGTTGCTCCCCCCTACCCCTCCCTGCTGCAGCGGGACCTGCCAGAGCTTCCAACCACACATCCCAAGCATGATTCTCAGCAGAAGTCTGACCAGAATGGCCTGGCCTTGCTCGTCGTAGATAAAGCAATTAAAATAAAGAAAACCCCTTTCTTCATTAAGTAGAAGATCTGGCCTTTAGAGCCATTGTCTCAGCACAGCCTGAGAAAGAAAATCTAGCCTGGGCCTCAAAGCTGAGGCAGCAGTGCCTGTGGTTTAGGGGGATCCACCCCCTCTCCAGACCTCATGCAGAATAGTGGGGCATTACCATTTGCCAACTATGAAAAATACAGTTTGGGTTTTCATAAACACCATTCCATTGTGCGTGTGGAAATCAGATCCTCACAGGAGCTCTGTGAGACACACTTCTCCTCTGAGGTTGTGAAGGAGACAGTGGGCAGTGGGCAGGGTGGCACGGCCCTTGGGCTCTGCTTTCTGAGCTGCAGAGGCTAAGGTGGGTACTCGGGTATTTAGTAGACGGTCCTCAGGGGCCAGTGCCATGCTGCCCAGACAAACAGTACATTCAGGGGACTCGAGACAAGTGCACAGCACAGAGCCACGATGCTATGTCACCCACGCTCCCTCACTTCTGTCCGTGTCACTCCTTCCCCAAAGGAGAGGAGGACAAGAGAACAGAAGCCTACTTATAGTCAGATTTCCTGCCTATGCAGAAGTTCCTGGCAGAGGCTGTGTGTCGAGATCAAAGGTGGCATTGGTTGGGGACCAGTGAGCTTGTTAGCTCTGTGCTCTGATTGGTGCCATCTTTATCCACAGCTGTGGTGACAGCAGCAGCCACTGGGCCATGTGTCTCACAAGCCCTGTGTCTGCCTCCATCCCATCCATCACCATGATGATTTGATTTTCCTTATTCTGCTCAGATTCCCGAGGCATCTTCCTGCTGTTTAGCGAGAGCAATTACAGTTGCTCCAGTAAGAACATTTGAAAATTCGGGTGCAAGCTAGTGCAGCTTAGCCATGTCTGCTTGCCCATGGAGGGCCTCATGGGCAGCCTCTGGGCCCAGTCTGCCTACAGACAGGATGTGACCACCAGTTTTCATCTTTCAACAAGTGTTTGCTGGCCACTAGATGCTCTGCTCTAGGGCTGGGGGAGGGGCATACAAGGAGTGAAAACACAGTCTGAGACAAAACTGAGGCAGTGGTGTATGTAGCAGGCTTTCTCGGACCACCAGTTCCCAGATATAACCCGGAAGCTTATTAGTTTTGAATGCTCTGTATTTTCGTATGCTTGTCCCACTAGCTCTTCTAACTTAATTTAACCTGCTTCTCTTCGTCTGTGTTTTCCCTCGAGGCTTTTTACCTTTCTTTCATTCTGTATGTCCTACTTTTGCCCTTCCTCCATGTCTGGCTGACTGGCTGACCCCTACCTGGCTAGCTAGCCCCTGGCTGCTCCCTGGCTGGCTGCCCCCGCCCTCAGGTCTGTGAAAGCCAGGCTTACACCCCTGGGCCTGGCCGAGAGCTGCATTCAACAGGGAGCTGCATTCAACTGGGAACTCCATTTAACTGCACCGGCTCTAGGTAGTTGGTACTGGTACTGTGGCAGGTGTTTTTACTTAGCTTGTTGTTTCTACTTAATGTGCTGGCTACTCAAGTGCTCGCTGTACGGCAGAGCCTCTTAAAGGAGCCGTATCCTTTTGGTTTTCTTTTTTGAAACAGCAACACATTTTTACCTAGTTAAACAAATGCAGCATAAATAAATGCAACACATCTTTACCTAGTTAAACAAATGTTCTAGTGCACATCACAGTGGAACTTACGATGGGGGTACCAGTTCTCCATAGGAGCAGGTCTGACCCTGAGGGGCCCTTCCAGGATGGGGTGAAGGAACATCATTTGCTCAGCCAGTGAAGGAGGGGGCAATGAGCGCTGTTCCAGAAAGTTCTCCGTGTGACCTCATGGTATGGAAGCCTCTAACAGCTCTGAGCCTGAGGTTAACCTAGCATGTGTTTCTAGATGTTGATAGCCATGCTATAGACCATGCGTGTTTGTCTTCCTGCCCTTTTATGATGTGGGCATCTGGAGATGCCTAAAGATGCCTGATAAGGTTAATTTTTTTTAAAATTTATTCTACGTGTGTGCGTGCGTGCGTGCGTGCCTGGGTGCCACAGAAGCCAGAGGAAGATACTGGGAGTTCCCCTCCTACTCTGTTCCCTTGGGATAGGGATTTCTCTCTGAACCTTTAGCTAGGCTGGCAGCTGTGAGTCATAGGGATCCTCCTGTCTGTAAACACTGCCTCTCCTTCCAGCACTGGGGTTAACAAGTACAGGCAAGGCCATTTTTCACATGGGCATTTGGGGTTTGAACTCAGGTCCTCCCACTAAACTCTCTGCCCAGCCCCCAGAATAATGTTTTAAGTGTAAAAAGAAGAATAAACAAAGACGAAACAGTCCTCAAAATGTGAAAGAAGACCATGACAGGCATGACGTAGAACAAGGCAGTCAGAGTGAGAGACTTAGTGATAACTGCTCCCTGTTAGCAGGATAAAGGTAGAACAGGTCCTGGGTCCAAAGTGGTCCACCTTTCCAAGTGCAGCATCTTTCGGCATCCGAAGGGCTCAGTTTCAGAACACCTGGGTCCAAATTGGTCCACCTTTCCAAGTGCAGCATCTTTTGGCATCCGAAGGGCTCAGTTTCAGAACACCTTTTAGGTGTTCAAGTCCCCGGAGTAATATGTGTGGCGTTTGTGTTTAACCTCCACACACACTCCCATAGACATCGAGTGATCTCCACATCACTTATAGCACCCCATACGGCAAATGCCTTGTAACTGCTTATTGTATTGTTCAGGGGGGAATGACAAGGGGAAAAAGAGTCTATATATTTTCTGTACATTTTTCCCCAAATACTTTTGATCTTGGGTTGGTTGACTCCTTGGACACAGAGTTTGTGGGATGTGAAGTGTGGGTTGTAGCAGTGTGCACAGGTGACATTTCACAGAGCAACACCAACCAGGAATGGCTTACACTCCGACAGTTGTCAGGGAGTGAATTCTCTGGTCCAGGTTCAGCTCCGAGTTGAGGACTATGGGCCCGGAAGTGGGATGTCTCGGAAGGCCACTGCAGAAATCCAGGCAGGTGGTAGGAGCTGCTAAGGCCGGGGAGGGCCACAGAGGGACAGATCAAGAGGCAGTTTAGAGTTGATGGAATGTCGGAGGTAAGTATGCAGAGAGCAAGAGACAGGCAGGGCCCCTGGGTTCCTTCCTGGGGGCTTAGGGACAAGATGCCTGACGTACAGCCAGAGCCGGTCTTTGGCCCTTGGTTCCTGCTGATATCTCTCTGGCTGTCTTTCAGGTCAATGAAATCTACCATGACGAGTCCCTGGGGGCCCACATCAATGTTGTGCTGGTGAGGATCATCCTTCTGAGCCATGAGAAGGTGAGTCCTCCTGTCCGTCTGATACCCCTCCTCTCTGGGCCACAAGAAAGTGAGTCCTCCTGTCCGATACCCCTCCTCTCTGGGCCACGAGAAGGTGAGTCCTCCTGTCTGATACCCCTCCTCTCTCTGGGATGAACGGGGCCCTGAAGATAAGGTTTAGCCCTTCTTTAAGATTGCTCGCTCTCAGCCAGGTGGTGGCGTACACCTTTAATCCCAGCACTCAGGAGGCAGAGGCAGGCAGATCACTGTGAGTTAGAGGCCAGCCTGGTCTCCAAAGCTACACAGAGAAACAAAAACCTGTCACAAAAACCGTATGTGCTCTCCCATACCACCTTGCCCTTCCCTGGGCACCCTATGATCCTATAACAAGCAAGAAACTGTGAGCTTCCACCCCCCACAGGCTCCCTGTACTCTCCACCAATGGCCCGTGAGTCTTTGCTTTAAATCACAAGTTATTCAGTGGTTATTCCGTGTAGTAAGGCCAACAGACCAGTAGGCCCTACCACTGCAGAGAGACCAGAATTCTGTCTTTGAGGGATCCCGGTTCCATATTACCAGAAACACACTCAAACGATTTTGCTGTATCTATCCCTGTTGCTGCCATTGGAGTTCTCAGGGATTCTTGGCTCGAGGGCCCTCCATCCATCTCTCCTCATCAGACCTCCTACCTTCAGCTCTAACAGGTCTCTCTGCTCTTGAATGCCGAGCTCTTGCCCCCTGCAGTCCTGGAGGGTGGCAGTTACTCTTCTTACCCTGACAAAATGCCATTTAGAAAAGGATTTATTTCGGCTCACACCCGGCGTTCCGGAGAAGTCATTAGGCCGAAGAGAATGATGGGCTGAGAGCTGACTGAGGGGATGTTTAGTACTGAGCTCACGCTCTGTAGAGTTGCGTGTGTAGAATCACAGCGGTGGCAGGGACAGAGCAAGAGTGGAGTTATGATGTCATTTGTCCTCGTCATCAGAAGGCTGTGTCTCTGTGCAATTGGAGGACGCTTTAAAATGGTGCAAGTGTTTAAGCCATGACGAAAATGTTGGCGAATTTTCTATAACTATAAACTAAAGCCTGTCCCACAGTTTGTTCCAGTGAAGCGCCCCGAGTCTGATCATAAGTGAGAAGAGAATACGTACAAACTTAAAAACAACTGGACCACTTCGAAAAGCTTCGTTTTTGTGGTCGACAGGTTCTCGCGTAGCCCAGGCTAGCCTTAAATTCACTATGTAGCCGAGGATGACCTTGCACTTCTGATCCATCAGCCTGCATCTCCCAAGTGTTCAGGTTACAGGTGTGCGCTAGCCCCCGTTTTTATGTGGTGCAAGGGACTGAGTCCAGGATTTTGAGCATGCTAAGCAAGCCCTCTCTACCAATTGAGATATAACCCCAGCCCTTGAAAACACTTTTAAAATTGACTGGGAAGAATATTAGAATGGCAGTTGCAGTGACTTGGTTTGGTAAGGGACTTGTTCAGCCGTGGATTTGGGTGTCCAGGGTGGGAGGAAGGGCTGAAACAAAGCCCTCTCATCCAGGTTACTGTGTGACAGCTGTGTTGAAACCTACATCACACTTCTCCTGAGGGCTGTCAACTCTACCGGGAAGATGTGAGGAGATTCTGCCATGCTGTGTGCACCCCTAACAGTCTTGTATTGATTAGTTTTTTTGTCACCTTGACACAAGCCAGGATGATCTGGAAAGAGGGAACCTCAGCCGAGGAAAGGTCTTTATAAGATTGGCCTACAAACAAGTGTATAGGACATTTCTTTGGATACATGATCGCTATGGAGGGTCTAGCCTGCCACCCCTGTACAGGTTGTCCCAGACAGTATAAGAAGTCAAGCTTAACAAGTCACAAAGAGTTAAGTCATTAAGCAGTGTTCCTCCATGGCCTCTGCTCAAGTTCCTGCCTCCAGGTCCCTTCCTTGGTTACCTGCCCTGACGTCCCTCAGTGATCGACTGTGACCAGCCCTACTTCCCCAGCCTGGGCCACACCAGCTCTTCCATTCTGGCCCAGATCCTCTGCTGTCTTGCTAAGGTCAGGCCTTTGGCAGGAAGGATGGCAATGAGATTCCCTCTGTGTAGTTGAGAAAGCGGATCCATACTCCTTCAAAAACATGCTGCCTTTGACAGCCATGGCGCAGAGTCGCGCTGAGCACAGACACGGAAAGAGGCTGATTTCAAAATACACGAACACGCATCGTGTCATATTCTCCTTGATTAATACGTCTTGAAATGAGTGAGACATCAGCAAACGTCGCTCACTCAAGCCAGAAATGGCGAAGTCCTTGGTGTATTCCTGCTTTTGCTTTTCAAATGAAATCATCAACTTTAATTCTGTACGCATTTATTGTTTTTACCTTTTTTAAAGTTTATTTTTGAGATTATAATCCCATCATTTCCCCCCTCCTTTGTCTCCCTCCAAACATTTCCATATATCGTTCCTTGCTGTCTTTCAAACTCATTGCCTCTCTTTCATTAATTCTTAGATGCATATATGTAGATACATAAATATTCCTGACTATAAACTGCTCACTCTGAATGATGATACTTGTGTGTGTGTGTGTGTGTGTGTGTGTGTGTGTGTGTTATGAGGCTGACCATTTAGTACCAGATAACCACTTGGTGTGCTCTTCCCAGGGGAAGACTGTTTCTCCTGCTCTCAGTATTCCGCAGTTGCCTGTAGTTCTTTTCGTGGGCTGAGGCTCAGCATCTCTGTTGGTCCTCAACACTGCTCAGCTCGTGTTTGCACAGCCGTGTTGGTGAGACTTCATGGAAGCTCCTGAAATTACAAGGAGACATGGTCTCGTGGCAAATTTCTGATCCTCTGGCTCTTGCCATCTTTTAGCCCCCTCTTCTGTGATGTTCCCTGAGCCTTAGGTGTGGAGTTTCACAGACATGCCCATGGGGACTGGGTTCTACAACTCTGCTTTTTGATTGGGTGTGGGTTTTTTCATAATGTTCTCCATTCTCCCCTGTTTTATGGTACATATGATCTGTTCAGAAAAGGAGTAAAGCCTTCCCCAGGTTGATCTGGGCATCAAGGACAGTTTTCAGTCCCTGTGTGGTCCCCACCATACTACTTAAGAGGAAAAGTTTAAAAACTGCAAGTTTCGTTGTTGAACTGTACCGAAAAGCCATAAATCTTCTCAGGACTCCTCAAGAGCGTCTGTCTGTCTCCTAGTGTGGATGCTGAATACAGGTAAGCCTTCCAGCTCTGTGCTGGAAGGAGAGAGGATAACAGAGAGGAGAAAAGAATGCCAGGATGGAGGCAGCAGATACTGATGCTGACATGGGGCTAAAGAGATGGTTCGGGGTTGAGATCACTTGGCAACCACGAGGACCAGAGTTTGGACATCAAATTAGCACATAATAAGCTGAATGTGTGTGCAAATGCTTGAACCCCCAGCTCCAAGGGAGATGGAGATGGGAAGGCTGCTGGGGTTTTCTGGCAATCTTATAGAGAGAGGAAGGGAGGAGGGAAGGAGAGAGCGAGAGATACAGAGAGAGATGGAGACAGAGAGAGATATGAGATAGAGAGACAGAGAGATATGAAATAGATATAGAGACAGGGAGGGAGGGAAGGAGGGAAGGGGAGAGAGAGAGAGAGAGAGAGAGAGAGAGAGAGAGAGAGAGAGAGAGAGACTTTACTTTAATGGACTAGACAGATAATAAGATAGGAGGACACTAGCACCCCATCTGGCCTACATATGTACAGAGGCACACATACACACATGTACATACACATTCTCTTACACACACATAAATAAACAAACAAATTTAAAAATCCAGATCAGGGCTAAGGATGTAGCTTGTTTGGTAGAGTGCTTGCCTGATGTGCACAGAGCCCTGGGTTTAGTCTCCAGCTGTGTATGCACAGGGGTGGAGATGGGGTTTGGCATACACCCATAATCATAAGCACTGTTGAGTTAGATTGGAGGCTGGAGGATCGGGAGGTTACAGTCATCCTTGGCTACGTAGTGAGTTCAAGACCAGCCTGGGATACATGAGCTCCTGTCTCAAAAATAAATAAATGAAAGCCAGACCACAGGGCTCCGTATGTCTCTGCCATGGAGTTTGGCTTTCTTAGAGGGACCTGATCCAGTTTGCATTTCTAACAGGGTCCCTGCCCTGAGGACACTGTTGTCATTAAGGGGAAGATGTGTAGATTAGAACACGGCTTCGACAGTGGAGAAAGGAAGGCAGATAAAAAGTGTGCTGGGAGGCACATTGAGAGCCCCTGGGTGCTAGGTGGGTGCAGGTAGAGAGACACTCAGCCAGGTAGATGATGCTGAGCTGCTGTGGTTCACGCATTGTCGCCTGAAGTCCCATTACCAAAGTGTTGGTCCTCAGGTGGCACTACCTGAGGCGATGGGACCGGTGGGCTGTAGATGGCCTTTTGGTCATTGGAGTTTGCTCTCTAAAGGGGTGCAGGGCTCTGCCTGCTGTCTGCCTCTGCTCCCATTAGAGATGTGGCCACTGGTTCCCGCCTTGGTGTGCCACCCTCATCAGAGAACATATCAGCAAGGCTCTTGGAGGTTGAACCTCTGAAAGCAATGAACTAAGCTAACCTTTTCTGTTTACAAAGCTCATCATCTTGGGCATGTCATCGCAGTATGGAAAGGCTGACTGAGATACCCAAGACGGAAAACCCAAGGTGAGCTGTGGCTGTAGGGAGAAGCTTGTGAGTTCAGCTGAGCGGTGCCGGGTGCTTGGTGGCCCAGTCGCGGTGGCCAGGATGGGCTAGCATATGGGCCTGGAATCCTAGGAAAACCTGGAGTATAGGGATGGAGACGAGAATTGTTTGCACAGGGGAGTGGTCCGTGCGTGGTGGCAGCTGAGAAAGACCCTAGGTGAAGTGGAGACAGATGGGCAGAGCGTGGGTGACTGGGGCATGGAACATGGGAGGCTTTCTTGTTCTTAACGTTTTGGAGAAAGTCCTGAGAGACATAGGTAGACCGCCAATGTTTTATTTAAAGGCGGGAAAAGAAGCGAGTTTCCCTGGTGAT